GCTCCAGTACTTTTTCTCATCCTCATTTCGGACATAGACAAGAACACAACCTATAGCACTGTATCATCCTTTGCAGATGACACTAGGATTTTCATGAGAGTAGGCAACATAGAGGACACGGCGAACCTCCAGTCAGATGTAGATCAGGTCTTTCTATGGCCTACAGAAAATAATATGGTGTTTAACGAAAATAAGTTCCAGCTCATGCGCTATGGAAAAAATGAAAATATGAAAACGGAAACCACGTACAAAACTCAGGCAAATCATAACATAGAACGAAAAGGCAATGTATAGGATCTGGGTGTACTCATGTCGGAAGACTTTACCTTTAAAGAACACAATAAAGTAGCCGTCACAACTGCAAGAAAAATGACAGGTTGGATAACAAGAACTTTTCACACTAGAGATGCTATACCGATGATGATACTTTTCAAAACGCTTGTGCTCTCTAGAGTGGAGTACTGCTGCACAATGACAGCCCCTTTCAAAGCTGGAGAAATTACTGACCTGGAGAGCGTGCAGAGATCCTTTACTGCTAGAATCCACTCAGTAAAACATCTAAACTATTGGGACCGACTAAAGAGCCTAAAACTGTACTCCCTTGAGCGCAGGTGGGAGAGGTACATAATAATTTACACGTGGAAAATATTAGAGGGGCTGGTCCCAAACCTGCACACAGAAATAACATCACATGAGACCAGAAGACATGGCAGGATGTGCAGAATACCCCCGTTGAAAAACAGAGGTGCAACTGGTACTCTGAGAGAGAACTCTATCAACATCAGAGGTCCGAGACTGTTCAACACGCTTCCACTACACATAAGGGGCATAACTGGCCGACCCCTCACAGTGTTCAAGAGAGAACTGGATAAGCACCTCCAAAGGATACCTGATCAACCAGGCTGTGACTCGTATGTCAGGCTGCGAGCAGCCGCGTCCAACAGCCTGGTTGATCAGTCCGGCAACCAGGAGGCCTGGTCGACGACCGGGCCGCGGGGACGCTAAGCCCCGGAAGCACCTCAAGGTAACCTCAAGGTAGGTAAGGCATCTGTTGCACGTAAACGCAACACATGCTGCACTAAATATGTTACGATTCAATTTCAATGTTTCCAATTGCATTGATAAATTGAATTTTCATAGAATTCAATTTATTTTCATTTTGATTTAATTATATTGTGTGACATTGCAATGAAATTGAGCTGTGTTGTTTACCATACCGTTCATTTCATTATGTCACGTCTTTGACAGGTAATAACATGTTTTGCAGGCGATGAGTCACAATAACGTGGCTGAAGTATGTTGACCAGACCACACACTAGAAGTTGAAGGGACGACGACGTTTCGGTCCGTCCTGGACCATTCTCAAGTCGATTGTGATGAGGAGGTAGGGACAGGCAATAAATAGGCAAGAGAGAGCTGAGGAGGAAAGTCAGGTGTAGGGGATAGTAGTAATGGAAACTGCAGCAGGCCTATTGGCCCATACGAGGCAGCTCCTATTATAACCACCGAAGGAGAAGTAATAGGAAAAAGAAGAGGATAGCAAGGGAGCGTAGGAGAAGACAATGAACAGAAAAAGGGAGAAGAGAGAAAGAAAAGGAAAGAGAAAGAAAGAAATAGAAAGGGAAAGCTTATGTTAAGTCACGTTTGTTAGAAAGATTAGAGCATTTGAGTATATACTGCGAAAGGGAAGAGTCCACAGCAACAAAGCCAGGACTCAAGTTCATGTTGGGTACATTGTTTATAAGAGCCGATTCTACAAGACGGCGTCTGTGTAGAGTAGAGGCAGGAAAGATTATTTTGGAGGAAGACCAATCAATGGGATGATTAGAATCCCTCACATGGCAGAAGAGAGCATTGTTAGTGTCTGCAGACTTAACACTTCTCTTGTGTTCTTTAAGTCTGTCATTCAGTGTACGGCCAGTTTCGCCAAAGTATTGGAGAGGACAAGATGAACAGGAAATAGAGTAGACACCAGCAGCATTAGAAGCAGAAGGAGCAGTGTGAACTAGATTGCTACGAAGTGTGTTAGTTTGTCGAAAGGCGAGTTTAATGTCAAGAGGACGAAAGGTATTGGTAAAAGTTTTGAGTTCAGATATGAAGGGAAGGCATAGTACAGTGCTAGTAGTGTTGGAAGCAGGTTTAGGATGAAAGAAATTTCGTTTAGCTTGAGAGTGGGCACAGTTGATGAAATGCAAAGGATAACCAAGGCGAGAGAATGATTTGTAGATAAAGGCAATTTCAGAATCAAGAAACTGAGGGTCGCTGATGCGTAGAGCGCGGAGGAAGAGAGAGACGAGGACACTTTTCTTAACAGAAGGAGGATGGTAGGAAAAGAAGTGAATGTACATGCCACTATGCATGGGTTTACGGTAGACAGAGAAAGAGAACCCAGACACAGAGCTGTGAACATGAACATCAAGAAAAGGAAGGAGGGAATTAGATTCCCACTCAACTTTGAAATGGATAGAAGGAGCCAGATTGTTAAGAGAGGCGAGGAAAGGCTGGAAAAGATTAAGGTCATGAGGCCATAAAACAAAAATGTCATCAACATAGCGAAGCCAGAGAGAGGGACGAGTATCAATAGGAGGAAGAAGAACAGTTTCGAAGTATTCCATGTAGAAATTAGCAAGAACAGGGGAGAGAGGGGAACCCATAGTGACACCGAAAGTTTGAGTGTAATATTTACTGTTGAATGAGAAAGAGTTAGATTCAACACAGAGTCTAATGAGATCGAGGAAAACGTCAGTGGGAAGTGGGAGAGGAAGGAGGCCCTCTGACGCCTTCTGTCTGAGGAAAGAGAGAACGTCATCGAGCGGAACATTAGTGAACAGAGAGTCGACATCAAGACTAAGCATCTTACAAGAGGGTTGCAGGCGCAGTCTTTCTATGAAGTCCTGAGAGTGACGAAGGTGGGCAGGGGAAAAAGTGCCAAGGTAAGGTGTCAGGGTTTTAGCGAGCCAGGAGGCAAGAGGATAGCTGACAGAGCCCCGTGAAGAAATGATAGGACGAAGAGGAACACCAGGTTTATGAGTCTTAGGAAGACCATAGAAATAAGGAAGAGAAGGGCAGATGACACGGAAACGTTTAATGAGATCAAAGTCAGGAGGGCAAAGACTAGAGAGCTGTCTTAGTTTGCGGTTAAAGGAAGTTTTGAGGCGATCCAAAGGGTTAGAAGTCAGAGGAGCATAAGTGCGAGAGTCAGAGAGCAAGACATCTGCTTTTCGGAGGTAGCCCTCACGGTCAAGGACAACCACCGAATTGCTTTTGTCGGAAGGAAGGATAAGAATAGAGTTGTTAGATTTTAGGGAGGCAAGGGCAAGCTGGAAGCGACGAGGAAGGTGGTTATTTTTAGAAAACAAGTTGTCAAGAACGGGGATAAGGGCCCCTCTAAAGGCAGACAGGTCCGAAAGAGTACTAGAGTTAGAATTGACAAACCTGTCAAAGGAACTAATGAGATCAATGCCACAGCGTGGGCCAGGGGAAGTAGCAAAAGACAGACCAAGACCAAAAAGTTCTTGCTGGTGCTTAGAAAGAGGGTAGGACGAAAGGTTGGTAACACAGTCAGAGAGAGAGTATTTGGCCCAAGGACTGTTGGAGATCAGGCGTTGAAGTTTGTTGTGTAGTGTGGAGGAGTGGTGGGAAGAGGAGACGTGAGCAGTGTCAAATGCAATTGGAAAAATGATATTGCATAGATCACTGGGAAGAGAAGAGGACAGAAAGCGTTGCTGTTGACGAACAGCAAGAAAAGCCTCGTCAACTTGCAAGGAGGTGGCATGAATAAGTTCTTGAAGAAGAAGGCGGGCATGTTCAGGGAAAGGAGATCCCGAAGTGTTGAACTGGAGAAAGTGAGATAAAGAATGAGGGAGAACTTGCTCAGCAAGACAGTCTTTAAGAAACCTGAGCTGGTTCTTTCGACGCTTGGCGGCAAGAAGGGAAGATTCAAAGGCGCGAAAAGGCCGTTTGAAGGAAGGTAGAGCATCAAAGAAATTAAACAGAGTAAGACGCGTACGTGTGGTATCCATATGCAGGCGATGAGTCACAATAACGTGGCTGAAAAAAAAACATGTTTTCTTTTATTAAAACAAAAAAACTGTTTTTCATGTGAGCGAAATCTTCAAAACCTTTTTACTGATTGCTTTGAAATTTTGATACATTGCATTCGAATACGTGCATGTTTTTATTTACCTATTATATACATGCCACACCTGAGACAGGTAAAAACATGTTTTTTAGAAAACAGCGGCATCTGTTGGACGTAAGAGAAACACACACTGTAATCTCAGAAAGTTCTTCACTGATTGCTGTGAAATTTTAACACAACGTTCCATTCAAATACGTGTGTGTTTTTATATACATACTATATAGATGTGACACATAAAAACAAGCTTTTTAGGGAAAAACAGCACCATCTGTTGGACGTAAAAGCAACACACACACTATGCTACATATGTTACGATTTTATTTCAATGTTTCCAATTGCATTGATAAATATAATTTTCATAGATTTCGATTTATTTTTTTTTTTTGTGTGTGGATGTTGGAATTGAGCGGTGTTGTTTTCTATGCCGTTCATTTTGTGAGTATAGTTTATTTTTTTACTTTTTATCATTTCGTTTTTTTTAACTGTTCTTAATTTTCAGTAATGGGAATATCGGATTATTTTGGAATGCATCGGACAATGGACAAAGGGACGAGGGAGGGGGGGTAAGGTGGGAAGGTCGAGGGGACTGGAGAGTGGGGGATGGTGGGGAGGACGAAGGGATGGGAAAGTGGGGAGGATGAGGGGACTGGGAAGTCGGGAATGGTCGGGAGGATAGGGAGATGGGAGGACTGCTGTGACCAGATACAGCTAGTATGTAATAAAATGCGTTTCCATTCTCTTCCTCATCATTTTGATATCGAGGTCAGGTATTAAAACATCGTTACTCAAATTGTTTTTTATTCAAACATATTTGCAGAAAATATGCATTTTAATTATGAGTAATGTATTAAACGTCAATATTATTCATCATCTTATGCAAGTCTGAGATCAAACAGTCTCATCTCTCAAGGCCAATAGAAACCCCTAAAGGTAAATGTGTTGACTGCGGACCTAGCGAGTGTGTTGACTGATGACCTGGAGACAGTGTTGACTGCTGACCTGGAGACACAGTGTTGACTGTTGACCTGGAGACACAGTGTTGACTGTTGACCTGGAGACACAGTGTTGACTGTTGACCTGGAGACACAGTGTTGACTGTTGACCTGGAGACACAGTGTTGACTGTTGACCTGGAGACACAGTGTTGACTGTTGACCTGGAGACAGTGTTGACTGTTGACCTGAAGACACAGTGTTGACTGAAAATTTCCCGGCACAGCGCTGATTGGTCACTTCGAACAAGAGATTTGCGAGAGGACCTCGAGGCAGAGAACAATCCCAGCCACAACATGGCCGCCCACGAGAACAACGAACATGCCCTGTTACATAAGAAGAAGTGCGATATTTAGATCGTCGATTTTTCAATCATATTGATATATTGCATTCACGATCACCGAATTCTTTTTGACAGTAACACTTGCATTCATATATAATGCAGTAACCTGGTATCCAAAATCTATATATCACCTGTTATAAGCACGGATGGAAGTAAACAATTTAGAATAGTTTGCGTAAAGAAGCCATCTGTTTATGCTATATATTTTTTAGAGCCCGAGAAAGCAGGCAAGAACCATGCATGAATTTTCTTAGACCTAGTATTAAAAAAAAATATATATATATATATATATATATATATATATATACAGTATACAATAAATTAAAACTAAGATGGTGAAAATTTTTCCTTGGATTAATAAAATAGGTCTAAGAGAGGGTACATTCTGTTTATCGCTACTGCTACACACATTCTGTGAGATCTTTTTGTTGTCCGGTAATACTAACACGCAAACTGTTGATGTGTGCAACAGTGCTACAAAATATATCTAAGTAGCTATAGATGCTATCATTATTGCAGTATGGGTTGAATATACTGAGAGTGTGAATGTTTAGATACTTTATCCAGAGGATGGCAAGGAAAGACACTCTACCCAGAGGTTGGCTAGGAAGATATACTCTACCCAGAGGTTGGCTAGGAAGATATACTCTACCCAGAGGTTGGCTAGGAAGATATACTCTACCCAGAGGTTGGGGAGGAAAGATACTTTACCCAGGGGTTGGTGAAGGAGAGATACTCTACCCAGAGATTGGCGAGGGAGAGATACTCTACCCAGAGGTTGGGGAGGGAAGATACTTTACCCAGGGGATGGTGAAGGATAGATACTCTACCCAGAGGTTGGCGAGAGAGAGATACTCTACCCAGAGGTTGGGGAGGAAAGATACTTTACCCAGGGGATGGTGAAGGAGAGATACTCTACCCAGAGGTTGGCGAGGGAGAGATACTCTACCCAGAGGTTGGGGAGGAAAGATACTTTACCCAGAGGTTGCAGAGGGAGAGATACTCTACCCAGAGGTTGGAGAGGGAGAGATACTCTACCCAGAGGTTGGAGAGGGAGAGATACTCTACCCAGAGGTTGGCGAGGGAGAGATACTTTACCCAGAGGTTGGAGAGGGAGAGATACTCTACCCAGAGGTTGGCGAGGGAGAGCGTGGTGCTGACGGTGATCCTGGTGGCGGGATGAGCACACTTCGTACCATTGGTAACCGTGTCCTTGAACCACTGGTCATACAGCCCGGCCTCCGTCAGCGACACGATCCTTCACAAGACAACATTCTGGGTAACCTTCAATTGATGACCCATCACCCACCATTGTCTTGCATGACAAAAGCTCTCACGGATCTGATACCCTAGTCAGCTGCCCCTATGTGAGAGCCATTCCCCTTCGGCAGATCATGTGAATTTGTAATACACAGTCAACTGTCTCAGTGATACCTAATTAGGTGATCACCTGATATAAGGAGATCAATCCAGAGTTGTAATAAATGAGTCTTCTGCCATATATACAAATTATGGTGAGGATCGTGTATTGTAATATAATAATCTGACAAAATGAGAACCATTGAATTGTGGAATAAAAGTTCTTACTGTTTCACTTCAGAAAATGATCACCTCTTACTCAGGGCTGGGACGAGAGGACTGTTCCTCTGACCGATCAGAGACAACGTCATCGGCAGGAACCTCTCTCTTGAGGAGTAGAAGTCACAGCGGCCTGTTGACAAAAATGTCATTATACTAATATACGTATATATATATATATATATATATATATATATATATATATATATATATATATATATATATATATATATATATATATATATATATATATATATATATATATATATATATATATATATATATATATATATATATATATATATATATATATATATATATATATATATATATAAGTCTTTCCTGTAGACATATATTTTTAAATATGACCGAAAAAGTAAGATTAATAATTCTAACACGAATTTTCTCGATCTTTCTTACGTTTCTTTTCACTGTTGATGGTAATTCAAAAATCAATTCTCCAAAATTCATTTTTATTTCTAGTCTGACGCGACACTTGAGCGCGTTTCGTAAAACTTATTACATTTTCAAAGACTTTAGTTTACACACACACACACACTGAATAGAGCTTAAACATCTTCGAGTTTTTTATACCTACATTTGGTGAGGTGACATGTTACAATAGTTTTGGATGAGGTGAAAATAAACTTTTTACACAAGACAGAACACGAAACAATGGGTATTAAAGGTAGGTAACTGAAGAAGGCCTATTTTTATTGGCCCATATTTCTTGATGCTTCTATATTGGAGCGGAGTCTTGAAGTGGGTAGAATATAGTTGTGCATTAATTGGCTGTTGATTGCTGGTCTTGACTTCTTGATGTGTAGTGCCTCGCAGACGTCAAGCCGCCTGCTATCGCTGTATCTATCGATGATTTCTGTGTTGTTTGCTAAGATTTCTGTGGTGATGGTTTGGTTGTGGGAAGAGACTATATGTTCCTTAATGGAGCCCTGTTGCTTATGCATCGTTAAACACCAGGAAAGAGATGTTGTTGTCTTGCCTATATACTGAGTTTTTTGAGGCTTACAGTCCCCAAGAGGGCATTTGAAGGCATAGACGACGTTGGTCTCTTTTAAAGCGTTCTGCTTTGTGTCTGGAGAGTTTCTCATGAGTAGGCTGGCCGTTTTTTTGGTTTTATAGTAAATTGTCAGTTGTATCTTTTGATTTTTGTCTGTAGGGATAACATTTCTACTAACAATATCTTTCAGGACCCTTTTCTCCATTATGGGTTGTGGAAAAGAAGTTCCTGTAAAATAGTCTAATAGGGGGTATAGGAGTTGTGTTAGATGTCTCTTCAGAGGTTGCATGGCGATTCACTTTCCTTCTTATGATGTCTTCCACGAAACCATTGGAGAAGCCGTTGTTGACTAGGACCTGCCATACCCTACAGAGTTCTTCGTCCACTTGCTTCCATTCTGAGCTGTGGCTGAGAGCACGGTCGACATAAGCGTTAACAACACTCCTCTTGTACATGTCTGGGCAGTCACTGTTGGCATTCAGGCACATTCCTATATTTGTTTCCTTAGTGTAGACTGCAGTGTGGAAAACTCTGCTCTTTTCCATGACTGATACATCTAGAGAGGGCAGCTTCCCATCCTTCTCCATCTCGTAAGTGAAACGCAACACAGAATTCTGCTCAAATGCCTCCTTCAGCTCCTGCAGATGTCTGACATCAGGTACCTGTGTAAAAATGTCATCAACATACCTGCAGTATATGGTCGGTTTGAAGTTCATGTCGACTAAGACTTTTTGCTCGATGGTACCCATGTAGAAGTTTGCAAACAGGACACCTAGGGGAGAACCCATGGCGACCCCATCTGCTTGCTTATTCATGTGTCCATTCGGGCTCAAGAAGGGTGCCTCTTTAGTACAAGCTTGGAGTAGTTTCCTTAGAATATTTTCTGGTATGTCAAGCGGAGTACAGGCCGCATCACGATACACTCTGTCGGCTATCATCCCGATTGTTTCATCCACAGGTACGTTGGTAAACAGTGACTCTACGTCCAACGAGGCTCTTATCCCTGTGGCCCGTGTTCCCTGCAGTAAGTCAACAGTTTCCTTTGGAGACTTCAGGCTGAAGGCGCAAGGGACATAGGGAGTCAGCAAGCCATTGAGTCGTTTCGCCAGTCTGTACATGGGTGTGGGTATCTGGCTGATGATTGGCCGAAGTGGGTTTCCAGGCTTGTGTGTCTTGACATTTCCATACGCATATCCAGGTTTATATTCCCCAATAATCTCGCCCCATCCCAAATAATAGTGTGATCACACAAACCTGTGTGTAGATACAAAGCTTTAGACGTTTGGGCAGTTCTTATACTATGAGCATGTTGGGACATACGTAATTGTAAGGATTTTTCTGTTTGTCCAAGGTACACAGACTCACAATCATTGCAGGGAATCGAATACATACAACCTGCTGTACCAGGGGAGTTTTTTTTTATTAAATTGGACTTGATCGTATTATTAGTGAACACCAAATTGATATTAGGGTCCTTAAAACCTGGGAAAAGTTTCTCAAATCCCATTGTATAATGTACCACCAATGAGTTTCTAATTTCTGGTTTCGCTTTGGAGACATTATTATAAAACTTACGTTTAGCTTTCCCAAATGAACAATCCAAAAACATCTTTGTGGGATATCTGGGCTTGACTCAATTTATTTAATTATTAAATTAATGAAATCAATTACGAAGGACCACCCACTTTTAAGAAAAAAGGGAAACTAATAAAAAGTGATTATTAGAAACACAAGGAAGAACCAGTGTCTATGGATAAATATTAAAAAGCATAATCACTTAAATAATTTATGGGCTGTATGGTTAATTAACTCAAGTCAGAGCCTCAAACACCTACATTGGGAGGGTATTGCTAGAACTTCATATACGTCTAGGAACTAGTGTGGTTCGTACACCAGTTCATTATTTGATAAATAATATTGTGTCCAAATATTAAAGAATTAATAGGCGATTACCACCAGAAATTATAAAGATTATTAGCATTAGAAAGTAATCATCTAAATAAACACATATTATCTCCAGTGTACATGACGAGTAATCAATTAGAATCATGAACAATTAGCAAAAATTGGAGTAATTAAATGTGTACAAAAAGTCTTAGCTTTAAGACGATTTCTATGACATCATTCACGCCTCGTCCTCGTGATCTCAGGAATTCCACGTAGAAGTCCTTAGAGGTGAATAACACGAATGTAGGTAACAGCTCGTTGACTCCTCACATACGAGCTGCAACTTAAGGCATATTACGTAGCATTGAACTAGGCTACTTAAATTTCAATATTCATGAAATATAAAATAAAATTTAGTGCGGTACTAACGTTGGATTTTTTGTAGTCGTTCAATATAACGACAGGCTGCCCACGACATATACAATCTCTAATGATGCATTAAAAAAGAACTATATACTTATCGAAAGGTGCAAATTATGCTGAAGCCTGCCGGTATCGCGTCTCAGGCTCAAACTTCCACAATGTCATACACGTGGTTGATAGCTTGGCTTGAATATCGACGCGTTATTAGTTGACCGAGCACTGCAGATCACATAGAACAATAATAATTCATTCTGGGTTGAGTATCAGTGTAATTCTTGCTGATAATCTCAACGTCACGTGTCCTTTGCTGCTCAATTCCGCAACACGAGTTCACCACACACACACACAATGGCGTCTTTCCTCCCTCTTCAACCCGCGTCCCGCATTCACCACAGAAATTATTTATCACGAATAATATTATTTCGCCCAATTGTGGCTGAAAGACTTTAATAAAGACTGGGTTGTAATTCTAGGGATTTAAATATTATTACTTTCTCGTCTTATGGTGGTAAACAAGAAATGGAGATTTTAGTTTTCTCCATGGCATTCATGCGTGATGGTAAATTTCTTACTTGATAACAATTGTAACTAAAAACTCTCGATTTAGAATCATCTGGGAGTTATGTTATCCATAAATAATTATCACACGGAATACCGATGATTTTAGAGAATCACATTCAATTCTCTAACACACTGGCTATAAATGTGTTTAACTAGATATAATCTGACGCAATTCTGGTGCTTGGTTTCGTAAGAATTCCAGTATCCATATGCAGATATAATAGTTAGTTTATGTGAACATTACTGTTAGTAAGTTTTAGTAACTACTGAAATTAGTATATTTTAATACTGATTTATTATAATACAATAGTATTGTATTAGTGTTGGAAATTTCCAACATAACTCCAGGGGAGATTTCTCGGGTCGCAGTGCAATGTTGAGTACTAATATACCTATCCCGAAGTTAGTATTAATTTTAATATGTTAGTATGTTAGTACACACAAAACGGATGTCCTGTAATTGTCAAGGACATACAAGAAACTTAAGTCTTGCAAAGAAATTCATGTTGAATGGAACATGTTATTGGAAATCATCTAAAGTTAATGACTAATAAAGCCTACAATGAACTCTGGGACTGGTGTCGCTATGACATGTAATGTTTATGTTACTAAGTCTTAAAGTTTTGTAAACTCTCAGATACTCTAGACGAAATAATGTTATTATTAATAGCCTATACAACAAATTAAGATTTAAATCATACAATTTAAAGTAACTGAGAATCCACTGTGATGAGAATGTTCTGGGTCATTGTGACTTGTAACGATTTGTTACTTGACATCACAACACAGTATCATCATGATTACTTAAATTGGATGGGAAATTATTTGCTCTTGGTCGAAGCTATAATAGGCTTGTAGTTTCCGTTTGCGTTGTTGAGCAGCAGCTCTAGTGGGGCGGTTGCTCGGTGGATCAGAATTGTTGTCTTCGCAAACTGTTGGTGAATCTGGTTCTGGTAAACACTCTCGTTCTGCTAATTCGAGAGGTACCAACTTCTCTAAGGTTTTTAGGGTAGTGTTGCCTCGGCATAAAACCTTGACTACTCTCAGGATGCATTGGTGATCTGGGTGGATAGCAACAATTTTGCCTATGGGCCACTCGGACCTTGGTCCATCACTGTCAACCAATACTAGGTCTCCTGGTTTAAGTTGCACTTTATTATAGGGACTCGAAGCTCCGTAGTGGTACTCTCGTAGAGCTGTGAGGTACTCTCGAGTCCACACCTCATTCCACCTTTCAATTACTCTTGAAAGATGTTGGTAACT